GAAACAGAAGCATAAACTAAACGAAGGGCAAATGGTATTTTTCCGTCTCCCAAACGGAGCGAATTAAAACATGAAGCAGTTAGGCGACCACCTGAAGTCTGTCTATTGCATATCTTCGAAACCCGGATGGAGCCAGTCTCGTTATTCTCGAACGTGGCTCTCCCATTCGGACAAATTAAGAAGAATAGATGACACTAAGATTTTCGAAAAAACCTCACTCCGTGCATGGAGCCTTCGCCTATCTCTCAAACTCCTTGGACCGGGTTGCAGAGTTCCTTCATTGATGAGCCTCTATCAACGTCATGATATTTGGTAAACACGGAAGAACTTTGCATCCTTGGGAGAGCGAAGTAGAACAAATCACCGGACAAAATTCCAGTTCTTACGGTATCTGACAATTGTGGAAAGCTAGGTAACGATTCCAAGAGCCCAACGCAAAGCACCAGGCGACCAGACAAGTTGTAAACGGATTTGCTATTTACCTCACAGCTAGTTTCCTCTAAAGTTCCGAATGCATAGTTATTTCCTGAAATACGGCAAGTGAGTCTAGTTCCAAAGTTGCACTGGTGCACAGTAAACATCAATATTGAAAATGAATAATTACTCACCTAAGTTGCTTTGTCTCCTTGCTTTCTCCTACTGTGTAACAGGTTGGTTTGCGATCCACCAATTGATCTGACCATGCTGGATGTAGCCAAAGCACATGATCCACATGGCCCGCATAGACCATGGGCATTATCCAATTTTCAATGCTTGCACTGCTACAAAGCGCTTAGATAGTAGAAGCTCCAATAGGCAAATACCAAATTAGCTTTTCCGGGTCTTGTCGAATATCACAAGCCTTTATGTCCGGTATCCCGAGGTCCGGATGTGAGTCAAAATGCAAAAGTTTAAGCCCAGAAAACGGAATCCGTTTGGATCCAATGAGACGATAAATGTAGGAAAGTGCCTGAAGCAAAAAATAAGCAGCAACTAGGGTCCCACAACTCACCTCATTGTGGGCCTCGACAACAACCACTGATATAGGCTTCTGCATTCGAAAACACGTTCTCAACGTGGGGTCTATAATAAAAAAAAACAAAGAAAAGTAAAACGGCATAGCAATCATGTGCGTGAGGTGTGTATTGTTTATTTCACTGGTGTCTGAATCCAGACAGTGTGCCAAACAAAGCGCAGTGCAATACTCTACTCTACTCTACTTTACTCTATAAAAAGTTCGAATTACGTGTCCCACTAAGAGTAAGAAAACTTGCTACTACTTGTAAATGGTCACTGAA